AAAAAAAAAACAACAACAGATCAGTAAGCATTGCCACCTTGATAAGTCCGCCTCGAAAGTAATCTCGAAATGCAATAATTTTTTTTAATGTAAGAAATAATCATAATTTTATCGCGTCTCCCGTTCTCAACGATATGCTCTGACTCCACGTTACTTTTATACTATGCCGTGTTCAATTTCCCGTTTCTCTTGAAAGTTCATCACTTTTAAACAGTTTCAAACTTCATCACATAAACAATAAAATTTAACATTGTACGACGAACTTATTTTGCCAGCGCATCAGAAATCCAATGAGTAAAACGTCTGCTGCTTTGGTCATATCATATGTAAGTTCTTCTTCAATCTTTTTAACGAACTTAAAGAAGCTCACAACTATTTGACCATTCATACAGCAATTTTATCCAAATAAAGGAAGAAGAAATTACCAGTGATATTCCAACGAGACGACTCAGTCTACAATCAGATTATCCTTTCATCATATCTGGTCTCCATCCTTTCTTGCTCAGAAAAAAAAAAAGAAAACCTAATCCGCTCCTTTATTTTCCCATTAAAATCTGATGTCATATATCGAAACATGCTGAAAAAAGTTAATAATTTTCAAACTTCCTTAACTAATCAATACGAACACTAATTCCAGCGAGGCAATGGTTAAATAACTACCCCATTTATCTAAAGAACTATGACTCTTGGAATGAGCGATAAACAATACCGTAGCTTTTAAAGTAAAACTAGTGAAAAATTGAAAACACTGAAAGCGAAATTATTTTTAAAGAAAAGCAATCCTGGAGTATTCCGTTAAAAGCTAGATGTATACTAAATTGGTAGAAAACGGATGCTTCAAGATCACTTTCGGAATAGGAAACTGCGGTATCAGTGGGGTGCACTGATCAATAAAAACATCTAAAACCCTTTTAAATTTGGGAACCGAGTACGAAGGACGATTGCGACAACGGTCACAGTTTCAAATCACTGGATATCAACAAAAGATTGCTTTTCAAAAAATTTCCCCCAGCAAGAGATCAACCACCAATGCGTAACTTCTTAACTAACTAAGAAAAGTTATTTCAGAACTCACTTTGCTGGTATTTATTGTACAGTTTAAGCATTCTTAGAGAACCAATACATTTCTTAACCGCAAAGTAGATCTCTAAAATGATGAGTAATTAGAAGACATGAGCAGGTAAAATGATCAAAAGAAATCAAAAAAAATAAGCAATAGAAAAGAAAAACAAATCCATACTCATTTCTAGGAATGCCGAACAAACGGAAAGATGCCTCTACAAATACAGAGCCACCAAGTACAGGTTCAGCGTATCCAGCTACCACAGATCCAGAGGATTTCATGCCAGCAAGCTACACTACAGGTTACTCACAAAATACTGTTAAAAAATGACAATACTTTGTAACGCAGCCGAAAACCATTAGCAATTTTTTTGAAACTATCAGTTCAGTTGAAATTCAACGACATTCCGCCGGCTTTTGAGGCAATAAGCAAATGCAACCGAATAAAGCAACAAGTTTCGTAAACCAAAACATTGTCATCCCACCGAAAAGCGTTTTTCTTTTCTTTATTTTGAAGCTCAATTAAGTCAAACAAGTTTAGTTTGCTTTTCAGCAATTCTACTGACGCAACCTAAATCAAAAAAATCTGGCAAAAGTGGAGCACTACCAAAAGCACAAGGCAACTAATTCTTGAGAAATTTTATAAAGAACAAATATTGGTCATTTAGGGGTCTCTATCACAATAACTGCACTAATGAGGTGATTTACAGTTATTTATGCCGAAAAAGTTGCAAAAAACGTGGTTATTGTCGACCAGGATAAAATTGTGTGTCCTCACTGCCATGTAAGTTTCTTTTTGCATAACATCATTTGAACCTCAATTCAGTGAAAAAAAAAAATTCTTTCAAAAAAAGCCTTCCCCTGTAATACTGCAAATCAAATGTATAATGAAAATTTTAAAGAAGATGATACAAAGTTAGAGTAATGCAGAAAAATATTCTGAGCAATTTTGATTATTGTGAGCGTTTGCAAAAGCCCAAACCCTCAAAAATTCTTCTGGTCAGGCTCCATAAATAATTGCCAAAATAAGCGCCAAGGTAAAGCTAATCTGTTACAGTAAAAACGACAGACCTAAACGATATGTTACAGCTGTTAAAGACCTAAAAGCAAAAAACTAAAAAAGAAAAGTTTCAAATTCAGAACTATATTTAAAACAAAAAAAATTTTCAGGCAGCAACATACGACCTAAGCTACCCAGTTAGAAGCCTCATATGCTTAATTATACTTTCGCTACTCACTTTTCCGGTAGGTCTGCTATGTTTACTATGCGTATTATGTCTGAAGAAACGTCGTTCTTGCGGCCACTGTCGAAAAGAATTCTAACGTAACGGTGCAACCCCTCAGTATATTACTCTTGACCTCCAATCCAAAAACCTTCGTAAGTGCTCCAAGTTGACAAAAAAGTGTCACACTCAAAAATACAAAGTATATCTAAATTAACTAAGCCATCTTATTTGAAGAACCATACTTTTCAGGAAAAAACTCCTCCCACATATCTCCTCAACGTGATTTTGTGAGAAACTACAAATAAATGAAAAAAAATTTGAACTTTAATTAAACAATTGCGAGTCAAAAAACACTATAAAGAAACTTCTTTGCATATCAAAAGTTATTAAACGCCAAGTCGAATTTGATACTGCATAAAGTTTTCCATTCACTTAAACAATTTCTTCTTGCTGGTGTCCTGCATCGCTGCCAAGTCCCATTCATTAACTTTTCTCAAGTCTAAATTGCTCACTTCTTGCAAAGGAACATTTCCTGGTGGTGAGACAAAATAATCTTCAACCAGTTCTACAGCATTCATAAGTACCTACAAAAAAGCAACTGAAAGATCCACGTGTTTCTTTCACCTACAAAAAAATAATGACCTTACATACTTCTTTCTTTTTTACTGTATGATCCACAACATCGTCCCTCAGTGGGCATGCTAAGTCCTCTAACACTGTTTCCAATGGCTCAACGTTCTAAAATTCTGTCTCATAATTAATTAGTTTTGAATTAACAGCGCTATTCGTAAAAATAACCCTTAAAAAATATTGATCATCGAAAAAAAACTCCCTACTGCTAAACAGCTATAATTTCCTGGCTCATATTACAAATAATTGGCCTATCAAAAATAGCGTTGTGAAATGGAATGATAGACTAAAATTTCCTCTTGAAACCAGTGGAACCAAACTAACTCCTTGTCATTCAAAACAAACCTCAGTGTCCAGTTGCATAAGCTGATTCGCATAACGAACAGCCATCCTCAAGTGCGCTACAGCTTCTTCGTTGGAAAAGCGCACAAGCGACAACCTTTCAAGATTAGCAATCAACTTTTCATCAAAATACGGAGGCTCCTCAACCAAACTTTGATCAATCTAAAAACTGCCTACACTTGACAAAACCCTGAATTTGAGACTTCACCACTTACTAAACCTATAATATTTCGATCTTGCTGTCACCAGTCAAAATAAACTGCATACCCTCGACGGACACGGCTCAAGCGGTATAAAAACGTCCCCATCACGATTTTTAAACGAAAAGACGTTGCGAACCTGCAACTTCCTGCAAAACCTCGCCACCCTACCTAACCATACTGAATTCATCTACCCTAAATCACGAGAATTCATTGACATGATGTAGAAAGTGACAAAGAAAGCAAGGCGGACCGAACTCAACGGGAAACCGAAAGTAACTGAGCAACTGCATTCGCTGAGATATCCAGCTTTATAAGTTGAGAAAACCTTCATTAAATTCAAGATGCATTAAATACCACAATACTACCAACCAGCATAACATCAAACATAACTCCCACTCCATCATGAGTAGTAACACATGTATGCTACCAAATATAAGGATTTATGAATTCATTCTTAAATATTCAACATTACTAGAACATACGAAAACCGTCAACACAACCTCCACACGAGCTCACAACACTTAGTTTTCTATCAAAATCAAAGCATCTTCTTGAAATTCTTAAAAATCAAAAGCGCTAAATAAGCAGTCACATCCAAGAAAAATCATAATACCGCAAACTAACGTTGCTTTATTCAAAGTAGTGCCATACAAAAGTCTGCAATTATACAAACTTTTCCCAAGACTAATAAAAACAAAATCCGCAAATAAGTCAAACACAAGTACAAAAAACCAAGGCGTGCTACAGCACCAAGCTCCCTTAAATCAAGTTCATTTATCTTGGTGCAACAACCCGGCACTTAGACTGGTAATCCAACTTCAATGCTAATTACGCTCTTAGTCATAGCGAACTATCCCACCGATTCATAATTTGCAAATTATGCCAATACATTAACCGAAAACAGGTTCTGCAGCTTCAAAAACAATACTTCAGAAATCAGTGAAACAGGTAAAAGAACCCAGATCACAATATTTTCGCGAGATATAATACAAAAAGCGAAAAAAATCAATACACAAATAAAACAAGTATGAGCAAAAGCGAAATGATGCTAATTAATACTTATTAATAAAACCTGAAAAAATTTATAACAGCCAACCACAAATCTCATCAACTCGTATAAGGAAATAAATAACATGCATATTACCTTGAATTCTTTGAATGTGCAATCAACCACTGTAGCGTTATATCTAAAAAAAATTAACGACTTGATAGAGGTAGTGAACAGTATTAAGATAACGGTGATATAGAGCAATTAGGCGTCTTTCTTAAAATTCCTTTCAAGTAAAAAACAGACTGTCTAAATAGAACGAAAGTTACCCAGTAAACAAGACCTGTTATCAGTTTTAATAATAAACCCTAGAAAACGCAGGACTCATGTTTTCAAATTCTCAATTAGTCACTAGAATAAATCCAAAAAGCAATTTAATTTGAAACAAACATACCAATATTGTCCTTCTCTTTACAGGAAATTGAATAACAACAAATCTCACGGTTCTGAATAGCAGATAAGTTCCTGAAAATTCATAACAATAGTTAAGTAAGACTATAACTGGCAAAAACAAAAGATACTCTTGTACAACGCTTACCGAAAAGTAATCAAAAAAGGCGAAGTTAACCAATTAATTTATTCACTTATTGCGAAGCACTGACTCTGCTCAAGTATTCTTAATTAATTATTAATTCTTTAAAATTTCAACTTTCCAACAAAGATAAAAATGAATGAAGTCTGCAAAAAATGAAACTATTAAGTGTGTCATAGTTGAACCTAATCATCCTGTATCTGTCTGGTATGAAAAAAGAGTAATAGCTTTGAGTAAAAGTAAAGTAAAGTAAAAACTTGAATAATATCTTCAAAAAAATAACAAGATGATCAACCTGTAATCAACTTACATCCTTTCAATTAGTTGCCGTTCATCAAGTGCCCCCGGTAAATCTTTCTTATTAGCCAAGACGAGAACCGGAATTGCCTCAAGTTGAGGTTTATCGAGCAACTGCATAAGTTCGTTACGAGCAGCTTCCAGTTTATCTTCATCAGCAGCATCAACCATAAAGACAATGGCATTAACACCCCTACAGTAGCGTTCCCACATAGAGCGAAACCGTGGTTGGCCTCCAACATCCCATACCTGTATTCACTGCTTTAGGTTTAGTGAAAAGAGGGTTTGAACAGACAAAGAAGTCAAATCCAAAAATACTCAAGTTAGAAACTCACTTTTATTATGACATTGCCTTTCGTAATCTTGCGCATATTGAAACCAACTGTGGGAATCATATCTTCAGTGAACTGGCCACTCTAAAACTTGGCCATTTTATGCAACTTTTCTTTTAAAAATAAAAAGAACTCCAGCCGCCTAAATCATTCATTCACTGCGCAACACAGTTAGGATGAAAACACTTTTCTCGAAAGACCTACGGGCACAAACTGAAGTTAAAAATGACTTTTAAAAATTTTTTCTCTTTTTTTAAATGTACAGTTGAACTCTTAACTGCTCTCAGGGGATAATCCAATGACAAACTACTGTAATTCACAGTTGTTAATAAACAGTAAAAAATAATCACAACATTTCTAAAGATTTATTTATCGCTTAAAACTTACTCAGTTACCTTGATTCTACCAATATTTGACCAAAATAAATTATTGCAGAGATCCTAGTCTAGCTCAAAATTAAGAAGTCAAAAAGGAATGAAAAATTTATAAAAGCAGCTACGAACACACCATATTTGTGTCCTTTAAAAACTTTGAGTTCATTTATTCACCTATTACAACATAACCTAACTCACCGCAATAACGTTGACAAAAGTCGTCTTTCCAGAATTCTGCATTCCCACCAAAGTCAGCTCCATCTCTTCCTTCCAAAAAAGGCTTCTAATCCAGTCAAGCACGCGATTGATCATGGCCAACATCTTGACTGCTCTTACTTTCACGATGCAGCAATAATCAACATAAATCTTTGAAAAATGTTTATTTCTCTTGAAACCACGAACGTTGTCAATGAAACGAGAGTGTAGCCCTTACGAGGTGACAGGAAAAAAAAAAACAGAAAAAAGAACAAAAACCTTGGTGCATTACTTACGAAAACATGAAATCGTGAATCAGCAACAAAAAGTAGCGAGCAGGAACGACGAATAATCTTAAAGCGATAATGTTTGAAATGAGAACATAACTCTTCATAGTGTGAAATACGCAGCTCATTCTCTGAGTTCTAAAATTCTTGTAACAGTTTTCCGACGTTGTTGCTCATTAAACTACTGAAATATTTCCCATTACCTGAATACCCCATGCATTTCAAAAACCTCGCTCCTTTCACGCACAAATGAATTGTTACTACAAAGATAAATGAAACCTTTCATGCATAGTTCAATCTCTCATTTGCAGCAGAAATATCCCGTCATTTACTTTGAATATTCCCCTCAACTTTGTTTAAAGGATCATCTAAAAATGTTCTAAATAAAGCGCAATCTCAACCATATACACAAGTACATTAAGCTTCCATTTATTTCATTACCTTTTCGAAAAATTAATCAACACAACCAGTACTGTAAAAAGTAACTACTCGAAGTACAAAAGAATCGAAATCAAAAAAACACAATGGACCTCTTCTGAAAAAAGAGAAAACTACAACCTGGGAAGGTAAACAGAACTGCACATCTCATCAAATGTTCTACATCTGCGATAAAACAGGACCCCAACTGCCCAAAAAATCATTAAACCGAGAGCACTGGTTGCTAGCAGCTTCATAAGTAAAAAACGGTCAAAAGCACTGTTTCAACACCAAAAATGCAGCTACTCAGAAGTAACGAAGTATAATGGAATTTTGCCAAAACGATATATCCAAATCATTCCAGCCCCCACAAAAACCTCTGTGAAATATAGCAACCGTATAATTACCAAAAAATCAAGCCTTATACAACAAACGGCCCATAAGTCAG